TCACTTTGTAGCCCAGGCTGCCCTCAGACTCACAGTAGTGATCCTCCTGCCTCAGCCTCCCAAGTGCTGGGATTAGGAGTATGCACCACCATACCCAGCTGTATTACATTCTCATTAAGCTACCTGTAACAGTTCTCACTTCATGTGCCGTAGGATTTACTCTGGGAAAATGTCAGAGGACTTTATGTGTTCGATTTGGACATTTGAGGGAAATGTAATTTAAAAGGTTGTGATTAGCTTGTGTAGCAAGGCTCCAGCCCTAAAGTTCCTATGGGTATCCTTCTTGGTATTCTGTCACCCTGGAGATACAAGGGGAGGCTCCCAGACTGACAGATGTCTTTCATGGGGCTGTCTAATGTGCCAGGCACCTCCAGAAAGACCCTTCCTGGCCTCCACCATCCAGACTTGTCCCCTCAGCCCAGCCCAAGCCCAAGTCTGTGGCCACCCAGAGGCAGAAGTAGGGGACAGGAAGGGAAAGCCCCATTCTCTTCCCTTCCCTCAGTCTGCTCCATTCTTGCCTACCCCTCAGGGCCTTCCCTCCCCCAAATAGGCCAAGAAAAGAGCTGCTCTGCAGTCACTCGTGCAGGGGAGGCTGAGAAGGGTGCCCTGCTTTTCAAAGATCCTCCATCTAAGACTGGCAAAGGGTGGAGGCACATTGGGCGGAAGGCACCTGAAAGAAGAGGATTGAAGTGCCCACACCGCCCTGCCTATTTTCTGCCTGCCCAAAGTGACCACCTCCCTCAGTGGCTTGGGACAGCTCTGAAGATGCTGCCTTCCAACTCTCTCTCATGTGAAGCCACAGCAGCCAAAATGATCCCGACTATCATATCCCTAATATTACATATAAAATCTATAATCTGTTATCATGTGATGAATATTTCCCCATGAGAATCCAGTGCCTAGATTGGTGATTAAATGCTAATCAAACACAAGTTCTAGATCTCACACATATCTAAAGTAGGTTTTAGAGGGCTAGCCTGGGGTGATGGGCCCCTGTCAACATCACTTCTGTGGGCCATGGCCACACTTTACAGCTTCAAAATTCCAGTCCCTAAACTGACTTTAAACTGAAACTATCATCAAATCTATCTGCAGCATATAGCTACAGTTCTTAAGTGACAGCTGAATTTGCCTCTCTTGAGATAAAAAATGTCAAGCGAGAGTCAGCACTTAAGTGAATCAATCAAAAACAGATTTGAAGGGGTGGGCTCCTTTGTCTTTAAATTCAAGACAACAGGAAAGCTGTGACCAGAGTACACCACTTTTTTCTATCCTCCTGCTGTTATCATTTCCAGAACCCTGATTTCTAATAATTTCTACCTGTGGGTTTATCACCACTCAGCAGCTGGTAAGACTACAAAAGCATTTAATATTTTTGCATTCTTTTTTTAAAAAATTCCTATGATAATTGCATAGGGAAAATACTATGGTGTTTGGAGGGAATTTCTTTAAAATAGAGGAATTGGGCTGCAGAGATAGCTCAGCGGTCTAAGCACCTGCCTGGCAAGCTCAAGGAACTGGGTTCGATCCCGGATACCACATGTCATGCCGGCAGCTGCCTAGCAAGCGCAAAGGACCTGGGTTTGATCCCTGGTACCACATGCCATGCCGGCCCTGCCCTGGGTGCACCAAGTGGGCCACTGACACCAGGTGTGAGGGCACATGCCTGTAATCCCTGAGCTGGGGAGGCTGAAACAGGAGAGTCACTATGAGTCTGAGCTGTGTGGTGAGACCCTGTACCAAATACATAAAATAAAATAAAATGGAGGAATTGACACAAATGTGCTGTTTTGATGTGTACCATTACTACACATTTTTTAGATTTTATTTTATTTTGAAAAGTAATATCCATGTTGATTGCCATTTCCTTTGTTAGGATTTTAAAATAATTAAGGCATAATATTAGCAGAGAAAAAACCAAATGATTTTCAAAATTAACATTTACTTAGATTCTAACTTTGATTAAATGCAAGACAAATTTGATCTCTGTTGTACACGGAAATATCAAACAGTAATTCTCAACTGAAATACAAGTATAGGTCAATTGTATATATAACTCCAGTTGTTCTTAAAGTTAATTTATAGTATACAACTGTGGTGATAGCATAGACGCACTTGTGCTTTACAGTGTGGAAAGAAAGAAAAGGAAGTTACTTGCTGACAAATTGGCTGGATAGTTGTTAGAAGTTCAGTCCATCGCCCCTCAAGAGCTTTGCTCCCGTCTCTCCTGGATTCCGTGCTGAGGCACGCCCCTGTGGGTTAGCCTGCTTGGGCGAGCGAGGTCCTGTGCTGTTGGAGCAGGGAGGTCTCTCCAGTGAGTTGCCGGGCCGTCTCCTGCAGCAGCCTCCCATGTATAGCTGGGGTGAGCCTCTGTGGAAGATGCATTTTACTTAGTTGCTGTAGCAGAGTGTCCCATGAAAGAGAAGAGGAGGCAGAGCCCCACTGGGCACAGGGGCACGTATGCACCTGCAGGGCAGGGCACCCACCCTGGAGGAGGGGCTCAAGAGTAAGGGACAAGCTGTTTAGAATGATAAGGTTTAAATTGTTAAAGTTGACATTATGCTAGGATTTACCAC